TTACGAAATCATTATCATATTATTTCATTGGAGAATCGAAGAATAATTGCCGAAGCAGTATTTCTGTATAAGCTTCTTAATGATTTTATCGATTCACCAGATTTATTAGCCTTGATCTGTTTACATGTACCACAAACATGATTTTAGAGTAAATGCACTGTTTCATGAGACTTTTTATCGAACTAATTCTGGTCAAAACTCTCCTATAAATAGAATAGTACTCTAGATATCTTTCATTCCTCGCTCATTAGTTTTAAAAGATTTTTAAAGGGAGCTATTAGGTACTGTAAATTAACATTTTCTATTTCAATATTATTTCTGTACTTTTATATTCAATTGACTTTCTTCCAAATGACTTCTCTTTACAATCACTGCTTTCTGAATCGTGTCACCAAACATCGAACATGCTGAGCAAAAATATTATAATCTGCGGCTTCATGATTTGGAAACTCTTCGTGGAACTGCAACAAAAAACATGAATGGATTGAATAATACCATCCATTTTCATCTGGTTGACCACTCCAAAAGTAGGCTTCTCCAAAACCATTAATATTTGCTTGCTTACCACAAAACTAACAATTAACAGATGATTAGCGTTGAAAAACACTGATTATTTAGAAGATTAACGATAAATTCAAATAAAAACACAATCGTCGAACACAAATAAACACAACAGCAAGCACACACAGAAAGCATAGACGTCTCTGAATTGACATATCGTGTCGGTCTGAAATCTAAGACAACGGAAAGTAATTTTGATCAAATGGAAGTAAATTTTAATATAGTTGGTAACATTTACGTGTGACGTCGGCTTCAATCATTCTGGTTCGCTCGGTATAAGACTAGTTTGGGTCTCGTCAACAGAGGGGTAAGCAAAATATCGTGAAGATCAGAAAGTCTTACGGTAGAGCAAATAATTACCGAGATATCAAATTGTTTTCTCGGTGTATCCATTAAAATTGCTGATGTTTTCAATTTCACTTTTTTTCGTAATCCAGCAAAATAGATTTAGGTTTAGACAAAAGCGGAGATAAAGGTTTTCGGACGACATACCGCAGCTTATCATTTACGACGCCCATAAAACCATTCGAATTTATGGGCCCATCGTATAACACTTAAAAAAGCGGGTAGCGGGAGCGCTCCAACAATAAAGCCCGCGGTTAACCCAATTAAGGTAAATCTCGCGGATATATCGTTTCCTATCAACGCAGGCGAGTTCTTACGGTTCCGCTGACTTTATCTCCTTGCTATTCATGGAATGGCCCCGCCGTTTCGTCTCCCTTACGATTCGCGAATCAGTTCGGCGGTCTCTGTCGCCCCCGCGCCGTGTCCCGTCTTCCGTCCCGCTCCCGCGAGCGTGAGGATCCCGTTCCCATGGCAACGGGAGGGCCCGGGCGGGGCCTCTCCCGAAATGACGGGGCGAATCACGGCCGCCGCAAACTGATAGTAATCGATAACACGTAACTTATAGAGAAGTCTTTAAGGATGTGGAGGGCGTCCGACGCGATTATCGCCGGATGAGCCCGGAGTTGAGGTCGGCCATAAAAGGAGTTTTTATTTAATAAGGTCCGGGAGGACGGATATCCCGTTCAGGGATAAATCAAGAACTGTAATCTAGGGCCCGGATAGCGGTACACAACTGTAGAATCAATCTCTAGTTAGCGGACGACGAAAGAAAGGCATTTAAAATATGTGCCGCTTTTCACAAATACTGATACGTAACAAATTTCTCAGTTTAATGGCGTAACGACCAATAAGTTAGCACGGAACCGTTGCCAACAGCACGTACGTAATAATATACAAAAATATACAGGGTGTCCCTAAAAGGTCGTTACAAGGCTCCACAAGATGCAGTTGCTGCTCAAAATGAGTCGATTTAGCTAAACTTACCTTAGTTCAAAGTTGCTTCGTTTGGACGGAATACGGCTCTGGTCATAATTCTGAAAACGCGTTTTTTTATAAATTTAAAACGCCTTATGCGATTTTGCTTAAATTTGCTAAGTCGACACCGCTCTATAGGACAATAAACCCCATATCATTCATTCATTGGCGTAGAACTTGGGTTTTTTAGTAATTACACCTTCCATAATTCTACACCAATGGAAGGAAAAAATTTTAAGTATAAAATTTAGATTAAGTAAATTATTTACTACAAAAGAGGTACTCTTGATAAGACTCGATTACTCTCATAGTTTATTCGAAATTTGTAATTTTAATCACTGGAGGCAATTTGGACACGAAAATTAAATTTATTCAAATCTCGTTTAAGAGTAACAAAAAAATTAAACGAATAAACGAGTTACTTACCAATAGACGATATGCTCTTCCGAAATTATTCAAAGCTGTTTCCATGTGCTAATAAACATGCTTCCAAACGACGAACGGTCACAATTCTATCACCAAAAACACCACACCACACATTCATTGAAAACTATTGCTGGAACCGAGATCTCTGTACAATCTGAGAATTTGCATTACACTAATGTGAATATTGTGAAAATTTAGTATGCCGTGTCTAGCAAAACAACATTCATCCGTAAAAAGCAGCTTGCTTGTAAATCTTCTGCTATTTGATGTCGAAGCCATCGAATTTCACACGGGGCTGAAAATCATTGTTATTTAATGCCTGAACCCTTTTACATGATATAAGTGTAATAATAATAATTGTTCCCTTAGTACACACCACACGGTACTGTTAGATACACCCATTTCCCGACCAATGTTGCGAGTACTGCGCCTCGGATCTTCCTCGACGAGGTTTATGTTGTTTTCTTCGTTGTCGAAAACACATTCATATGTGGACATTCCCGGTATCCCGTAATCTTTGAACCTGTTACACTGTTTTATTGTTAGGTTGTCGTTTGTTACGGTAACGATAAGTCTCATTTAAATTGTAATGACATTCTTCGTACATTAACACCATATCTGCTAGTTCTTGATCAAAAAACGTTTTATACGCCGGCTAAGTGTAATACACAATGCACGTGCACAAGATGCACAGGGTCGACTTACATTTATGGTTAATTTTCTTAATTAATTTTCTCGAAAATAGAAGTACTTTCTATCGTTTCGGGCGACTTTCAAGGGCAATTTTAGCATATACAGGGTGGGCCATTAGTGTGAGAAACTAAAATAACTCCATTGTTACTCAAAATACAGAAAACAAGTTTATATAAAAGTTGTTCAGAATCAAGAAACTTAAACTACATTTTTTAAATGGAATACCCTGTATATTTTTATATAAGTTTATCATTTTAGGGCGGGGTTGCCAAGTTATGTAGAAAGTTCTTAGAATTTTGGAAAAACCATGACCTCGAAGAAGTTGTATTAAGTTATAGGCAAATGTTAGACAAACGCTGCTATATTACCTAATATCGAAATTTTACAGGGCATTTTTTATAATACGATCATTTTTAGAAAGTTTAAAGTTGATTTTCTAAAATTTTTCAAATTGTATTTGTATGTATTTTATTGTTCTATTTTATTCACATATCGGTCCACTTCAACTTTTATTAAGCATGTTCTATATCTAAAATTGTTAGTTTTTAAGATATAGCAACATTTCTGAAAGAAATTAATTAATTTTTATTATTTTATAGAAAACCACAAATAAATATTAAATAATAAAATTAACTCAAAATGGAATGATAAATTATGAACTGACAAGTTGACACAATGTGCCAGTTTTTTCCAAAGCCATTTCGTGCGACCGAAAATAATAAAAATTAGGTTTTTCCAGAAATGTTGCTATCTTAAATACTAACAACTTTAGGTGTAGAACATACTTAATAAAAGTTGAAGTGGACTGATACGTGAATAAAATATAACAATAAAATACTAAGTGTTCCACTAGAAAAATTTTAGAAAATCAAGTTTGAACTTTCTAAAAATGATCGAACTATAAAAAATGCCTTGTATAAAATAACGATATTAGCTAATATAGGAATCATTGCCTAACATTTGTCTACAACTCTGTCAAATATTTTTGCTCCAAGTGTTAGTAGTTGAAAGTTAATACAACTTCTTCGAGGTCATGTTTTTCCAAAATTCGAAGAATTTTCTACATAACTTGGCAACCCCGCACTAAAATCTTAAACTGTTTATATTGTCATATATAGAATTTTCCCAGAAATCCATATGTTTAAAAAATATACAGGGTGTTCCATTTAAAAAATGTAATCTTTGGCGTGTCCCGTTCTTAGTCATTGCTCTGTATGTTTCATATTAATTTTGTAGTATAGATTTCTGTACAACTTTTATATAAACTTTTTTTCTGTATTATGAATAGCAAGGGTGTCATTTTACTTTCTCACACTGATGGACCACCCTGTATATACAAATTAGAGATTTTGTCGTCTACTTTCAGATACCGTTCTCAGAATTTAAATCGGACCATTTTTGATAAATCGCCACGCTGCCTGCAAAAAAGACCCTAATTTGCTTATAATGCAATTGTGCAAAGACTATGCATCGGACAGAAACCATCTTACGCACGATTAAACAACATATTATTATCTGTCATTTTCCCCAAGATTATTTTTCCAGTTTCAAATTTGACGGAGTTATAAATTTTTGAAAAAAGGTCTATTTTAGAAGTTTTTCCGGATTGTCTCTGTAAAAAATAAACCGATCGGGTCGCACAAAAAACCATTTTATAGGTTTTTTATTCTCTACAAAAAATCAAAAAAAGTCAGTTTTTTGCAGTTTTTATTGTTTAAAAAAAATGTTCACGACTTTGCTGGGGAAATCACTTGGGTTTTCATTTACTAAGCATTTTTCAAAAGGAAGTACATGAAATTTGTTGTAATATTTAAGTGTAAAAACAACCTCTTTTTCCCTCTATTGGTTGGTCTAAAAGCAGTATTTCGTATCTACTGCAAAGAGGCGGGGGTGTAATTCAATGCTGTTACAATCGACGTTCTCTCGGTTACATATCTATAATCTATTCTTCTCCTCTTTCTGCGTTATAAAAATTAATCGAATTTTTCTGTTGCTTCCAGGTGAGAAACCCCACAAGTGCACGGTATGCGGGAAGGCCTTCAGCCAGTCCTCCAACCTCATCACCCACTCCAGGAAGCACACGGGCTTCAAGCCCTTCGCCTGCGACCTCTGCGGCAGGGCCTTCCAGCGGAAGGTCGACCTCCGGAGACACAAGGAGACGCAGCACACGGAGCTGCGCCCCATAGTCACATAGTGCCAAACCTCCGGAAGCACCAGTTCGCTTCCGGCCACCACCTTCAGCAAAGATGTACAAAATACCCTAGAAGACAACAAAATGATGCAACCGTTCAGACCCCAGATGGGCATGAACCTGGACCAAACCTGCACGCAGATGCTGAGGCCCAGCCCTAACCAGGAGGTCGGCGAGGGGGTGAACCCGCCGTTGCCGCTGCCGCCGATACGGTCAGTGTTCTCCAACGTCTGCTGGACGACGTAAAATACCAAAGACTTACCAAAAAAGATTTTATACATTCTAGACGTTTCATCTGTGATTTTAGCCATATGAAATATGGTGCTAAGTAGGTTGTAGGCTGTTTTGGTACGGATTTGTACACTGAGAGTTTCTTTGTTAATTTTATTTGTTTATTATTATTATTTTTGACTTACCGGAAGAATCTTTACCAGAACACTATCTGATAAGTGTACTAAGTGTTACCCGTAATTGGCCACAGGATGTTTTACATGTGCAATTCCTTGTTCACTGTGCAATTTGAGAGGATATTTTTTTAATCATTACAGAACCTACATATCACGAAGATGCAAACGACGATTTCTCCGAGGCACAGGTCATCAAATGTAGAAAAAACCCTGAGCTCAAACCGAACCTCAGTTAAAAAAAAGACACCACCGCGTCGATTTTAACAGGATTTGATTCTGAACACGGGTCTGGCGCGGACTCGGTTGCGCTGCTTTGGGATTCTCTCGTAACTTATTATTAAAAATAGAATATTGAATTAAAAATCATAGTGAATAATTGTATTTTTGCATTCAAGTAACATTTACTGATTCAGTGCAGCTGATATGCATTCGATCTGTTCAGTACGTGATACCTATGTCCACTGCGCATCAGTCGGCTGACAAAACCAAAGCTTTCGCTATATTTGATGACCTGCAAGCAGTTGTGTCACTTGAACAGCAAGCTACCGATTTTCCGAAAGAACTTGATTTATTTTAATTTCTCCACCGCCAAATACCTGAGTTTATATCATTTATATTCATTTCAAATGCAGCAAAAGGGAGTCTGTTCGAATTTACGGCGATGCTGCGGGAGAAATCTCGCGATTTCTCGAGACTACGATTTCAATCCGTAGTTGGAGGAGAGTCTGGTTAAAAATCAAGTTGCTCAATCAAGGAAGCCTGCTTTGTATTCCTGAGGCGTCGCGGCTCCCTTGTAAATAAAGATATGGCCTCTACGCGCCAACTCTCGCCCTAGGAGATACCGTATCTCTTCCGATTCGAGTACTATTACTTCCTGGAGTTTCCTTTTTGTTGACCGGGTCTTAGGTGCAGATTTAATAAGCGAAGAAAGCGGGAAAGAAGCCTCGTTCCCTTCGGTTTCTCGTTAGCTGTGATTTAAGTAATTCCATAAAATTAAACGTAAAATTTACGTAAAGAACTGATGAAATTATTTAAAGGTTTTTGTTACATCTAGTTTAATAGCTTCAAAAAGTGAGAAATGTAATTTCAGTCGCGAGAATATTAGCCACAAAAATTAGAAATTTAAAATGTTTTATTTTTGTCAATAAATATGTGAAGATTCATCACAAAAAGTGTTATATTTGATATATCAACTTTGTTGTTTTTAAAGACATCGCAAAATATGAGGTAGTCACTAATTTTTCATTTTTTTATCTGAAAATAAAAAAAATCACGCATGGCCTGCAGATACTGTTATAGCGTGAGTAGACGACATCAATTATTGGTCGTAGTTTTGGTTGTATATTCCGTGTGAATTAGAAAAATATATTGAAAAATACTATTTCATGTTTAAAATGATTTCCTAATAAACAATTAACAATGAATGATAATTTACTTTTCCGATATCTTCAAAAACAACGAAGTTACAGTCGGTTCCAACATTTTCGAATTCTGTTCAGAAATCTTTCTGATTAATTTGAAATAACCCATAAAGTGCCTGCCCCAATAATTAAATTTTAAGCCAATATAGTTACTTGTTTGTCATAGTAATGGCCAATAAAAATGATCCAATTTTGATATAAGCAATATTGAGAGTTTCGATAATGAAAATAGAAATCAAAATTATCTTTTGACAGTGGATTTTAAGAGAAAAAAAATAATAAAAGGACTGTTAACTGATTTTATTAGCAACCTTTCACAAAAATAACATCGCCGCAATTATTTTATCTGTAAGGCAACAACAAATTTCAAGACGGCATATTAAAGAAGTATAAATATTTCAATTATACAGGGTGTTTCATTTCTTCTGGGCTGCATATTATTACATTTTCGAATTCCTAGTTTAATTTTAAGCTTACTTACTTGATAAATAGATATTAAGGATTAACTTTTGGAATTACTTAATGTTTCTATAAGAAATTGATGCTGGGAGCGAATATCTCCGAAACTAGATAAGATGCGATTTTGCTGTATCATCCGTTCAAGCATGACGAATCCAGTCTTTTGCATTACTTAATACATTTGAAATATAAAAATAGTATTTATTATTGGAAATTTAAAATTTTTCAATTACGGATATTTTTATTTTTTTTTAAATGAAATTTAAATGAAATCAAATTTCATAAATACAGATGCAAAATTTAACTGACTTGTATATTTTATTAAGATATGTGGAGTCTATTTCTAACAATTTGCCAAATTTTTTAACGGTTCTTATTTTTTGTTGCAATTTTCCCGTTAAAAAATGGATGCCACATAATAATGGAATTTTCAAAGCTAAGATGTACTCTGAAAATGATGGTGATTGGTTAAATAAAAGGATAGTTAAATTGTGATCTATAATTACGTATTTGTAAGGTAGACTATAGGTTATGGCAATCTATTCGTCTGATATTTGACTCAATAGGGTGTCCACAGAAATTGATACGTTTTTGAATAAAATTGAGTGAACTTTTTTTACAGTGTAACTTGATTTAACGTTTAACTGAATTTTTTTCGAATTTTAAGAATCTAGGATATATTTCTAACAACAATAAATAAAATATTTTCAATCAACGTCTTCCACATTAGATGAGGCTCCTTAACTGACTAGCTAGATCTACCGATGTAACAAAATTTGTGGAGATATATAACGATTTATCGGTGTTTCCTGTTACAATGAAAGGTACACAAAATTTAAAAAAGGCAAATTTTCAGAAACCCAAAATTGATATTGGCAATGAGAATTTTAATAAACCTATTCTATTTTGAGCACAATAAATGTATCAATATGTAAGTAAGTATAAGTAACAATCTAACTATCCGTTTATTTAACTAAATATTAATCGAGACTCAATATTGTTTTTAATTATTGTAATCATACCAGTTTATTGTCACCAAAATAACCGGATATACGGATACTTGTCCAGCACTGCACACCACGAGATAATCTAATGGGGACGATGGGAATAAACAAAGACAACGCACGACAACCATAGAATAGGGTGGGGTCATTCAATAATGAGGACATTTACTCCGATTTAGGTACAAGTGTACCAAATGCGAGTTTATCTGGAAAATTTCTTTAACGGGTACTATATTTCAGTGAAAATACTCAGTTTTAGTTCAAATATTATCACAAATTGGTAAAATCGGTTATGTAACTCTAAAAAAAAACAATAAAAAATATTCAAAACAAAACTTTGGTAAATAAAATACACCCTTCATGTTTTACATAAAAAATTCGAAACGTTGTGCAGATTTATATTATTCCTATTGGAAGGTTTGTTTTAATGTGGAACAGTGTTGGCCTTATCAGAAAAACTGCAAAATCATATAGGTATTAAATTTTAAACACCCCGTAACGAAATCCTAAAAATTATCCAACTGTCCAGCCATACCCGAGAAACGGGTGCGTGCTATATCGAAACGACCTATACCCGAAACGCCGCGATGCGTCATTAAGATTAACGTTGCTGATTAAATTATGTAGAAAGCGGTGTTGTCACGTCGTGTAACCTCATACTCCCCGAGCACCGCTAGGGAAGATCACGACGACAGTGGAAAGAGGTTTCCGGTTACAGAGCTCGCTGCCGCCCCGCTCCGGGTCTCCCGGAGCCTCCGGCTGTCAGTTCGCATTCTCTTAAATTTGTGATTTGGCTGGTGCGATTCTGGATTTGCCACTTTCAGCGTCTGCTCAGGTGTCACTTTAATATTTATAAACGCCCCGCCTCGGAGCGTCGTCGGGGCGCAATTTTCATTACCCCACTATCGAATTCATTATCTTGTGCTAGTTAAAGTGTTGTTCTAGGTCCTTGTGGACAAGCAATGTCTGTTCTTGTTGCGCCAAAAATAAAACTTGTTTTCAAAGCTCTGGAGATGCAAAAATGAAAGTAGTGAAATGTCTACATAAAATATTATGAATACACTGAAAGACATGTCTGTTTAAATTTATATTTTATTAAATTGTTCCTTAATTTGATGCAATTTACAAAAAAAAAATGACGAAAACTGTAGCTTTTTTTACAGTGACGATTTTTCCTGAATTTTAGCTATAGTTACTCTAAAAAAAATAACATGGTAAATGAAAAATTGGTGCACCAAGAACAGGATTATTATTTTTATAAAATATTCATCCTTATTTATATTTTTATATATCGTGTTCCTTTTGTTGCAGTCTGCAGCAGCCCTATATAATATATGTAAATATTTATTACTATGACTATTGTTAATTTTTTATTTCTTTTTGATATAGTACTAGTAAGTGTTGAATGTATATGAGATATGTAAATTATTATTGAAGTAAGTATTTGTAAAGCACTTTGTATGTAAAATATCTGTACCTAAGCTTTGTGAATGTTTTATCACACAAAACTTATTCCAACACACAAGATAATAAAATATTGTGATCGATCTCGCAGCTTTTTTCTTCCCCTAGCCCAGATTTAGGTTCACAGTTTAAATAAGTCTGTTTGATTATAAAGACCCCGAACCTCGGTTACCCATTTTTGGACACCCTGTAGAGTATATATATATATTTTTAAATAGGATATTATTTCCTTTATATTGACACAAATATTTTTTTTGTCATTCTGTGGAGTAGTGTCGTCATTGCTATTTTTTACATGGGATTGTTTTTTTGCATCTTTTGATCGATTTTTTCATTTTCTTTCCAACCATATAAAATTTGTATGCCTTTGCATAACGAAATTTTTGAAAAAAATTAGAAAACTTTCAATCTTTGACTTTTATTTACGGTGCTCGCTTTCTAAATCATATCAAATAGAAGGCGCTGGAAAAACAATTTTGTGTGCTGCTATCTGTCACATATCGGTTTGTTTGTAATTGCTGTCACCTTTCAACTTAGGTATAACAAAATGAATGATTTTAATAAATTAGCTGATATACTGCAGGTTTATTATGAATATAAAAAAACAGTGTAGCGATTTTACATATATCGACAACGTTATCCTAACATAATTTTTCCTAGCAGAGGAAAGTTTAGTAAACTTAAAGACCGTTAAGATATAGGAAAAATATACAGGGTGTTTCAGAAAGACCTCCCGTAAATACTGGGAGTGATAAGTACGACAAAAAATAAGAATTTTTTGTCTTATGGACTATATGTCTATCTCCGCTTGTTTTCGAGATACCGAGCAACAATATAAAATTGTTTAAATAGAATTTTTACGAAAATTTCCAAACGGTGCGAAATATTTTTATAAAATTTGGTATTCTGGAGTTTTTAAGGGTGCCAAATACGCTGGTCTAATAATTTTTTGAATAATTCATAGAGGGCGCTAGTTATGCTACATTCCTATTACATTTTAAGTTCTAATTTTTTTAAAGTTAGATTTTTTACCATTCGGACTCCAATTTCTGATGTATAATTTTATTTTGTGTGTAAACAATGTGTTCTTGTTAGAACTTCCTAATGTGGGCGGTTTTCGAGAAAAATGGCTTTTAATTAAACTCTTACAATATTGCCGTGTACAAATTAACTGACTTTTCTCTAAGTAGGCTTATGTCAACTTATTGATGGATGTCTCATAAACAACGCATACATTCTTAGTAATATTTTAAACTCTAATTAACTTTATATCAAAATGTTAGTGATTTTGGTGACTGTAGTTAGTAACGACTAATTAAAATCACTAAAATTTTGATATAAAGTTAATTAGAGTTTAAAATATTACTAAGAATGTATGCATTGTTTATGAGACATCTATAAATAAATTTTGACATAAGCCCACTTATTTTATACACCGTAATATTGTAAAAGATTAATTAAAAGCCTTTTTCCTCGAAAACCGTCCACATTAGGAAGTTCTAACAAGAGTACATTATTTTTAGAAAATAAAAATGTACGTTAGAAATTTTGGTACTATTTTTTAATTTTTAAACATTTTTTACGAAAATACTTAAGGGCCCCATATTCTTTATATAGTGTTTTCCGCAAAGACAAATAATTTCAAACATTTAATAACTGAATAATCTAAAGCTTATCAAATAATAGGAATGTTATGTCATGCCATCTGGTTATTTTCAAAGACGCCGCAGTAAAACGAATAAACAGGTGCAAAAAACGATCAAACCATCAAGGTTTTAGGTACTGAAATCTACGAAAATACTAACTTTTTTATATATAATTCCACATGTAAATATTCTTATAACATTTACTTGCTTAGTCCTACATATAAAATTGTTTACTTTTATTTATAAGTACGTGAAAATAATTCTTAAAATGTGGGGTTAGAATAACAGCAAACGCATGTTTTACAAACGCTTTTTTTTAGTTATTATTTTATTTGAGTAAATTTAAATGGTAACAATGAATAAACAAAACATCAAGGATTTTATTTTTGTGCTTACTTTTGTTCTACACGTTTTACTTTCAAAGATTTCAGTACCTAAAAACGCCAGAAATTTCACTATTTCTCGGCCGGGAATATGGCCACCTTAAAAGCCTTTTTCCTCGAAAACCGTCCACATTAGGAAGTTCTAACATGAGTACATTATTTTTAGAAAATAAAAATGTACGTTAGAAATTGGAGCCCGAATGGTAAAAAACCTAACCTTAAAAAAATTAGAAGTTAAAATGTAATAGGAATATAGCATAACTAGCGCCCTCTATGAAGTATTCAAAAAATAATTACACCAGCGCATTTGGCAACCTTAAAAACCCCGAAATACCAAATTTCATAAAAATATTTCGCACCGTTTGGAAGTTTTCTTAAAAATTATATTTAAAAAATTTTATATTGTCGCTCTGTATCTCGAAAATAAGAGGAGATAGACATATAGTACAAAAAAATCCCTATTTTTGTAGTACTATGTCCCCTGTATTTACGGGAGGTCTTTCTGAAACAAACTGTATATAACAATAACTTACTAATATTAATAAACAAAAAGTTGCACAATACAATATTAAATGCAAACAAAAAATGTAAAATGAATAGTGAAATTTAAAAGTACCGTTCAAACTGTTGTCTATTTCTTTCGATACATTATTCGAATCTTCGAATTACACTTCTAACTACATTTAATTTAACGTTATGTGCAATATAATTTATTGCGAATGCGATACTAATTCTGCCTCTCAACTGATCAGTGTTATTATTTGGTGGTACACCAGAGAAGTAGTAGAAAAAAGGGGCGGCCTCAGCATGGCAATTAGGCCACAAGTGGGCCCTTTTTGCCTACCCCGCTGTCCCATCACCTAACCACCATCTGCCTCTGACCTATCCGACGCCCTGTTGAACGCCAGGAATTTGGTCCATGGAAGGTCTCCCACCTCAACCCCTTGCAGCTCTTCAGCACCAAAGACTTTATGTCTTGTTCTCCCAAAAACACCAGAAAAAGAAATCAAATAGATTAATATCTGGGAATCGTGGCGGCCAATGTATGGGTCCTCTTATAGGTACCAATCCTGCGATCTTCAAATGTAGCATTCAAATAATTTATGTTTATATGGGCATTATGTGGAAATAATATGGACATAGGTACTCGTTAACTGTTAATTCTTTCAAATACTCTTGTAACTGATTTCTCAAAAAATACCTACCGTTTATCAGTTAAAGAATTATTATTATAGATGATGGCCTCAATATTTTTGAACCTAGGGTACCACACCATATTAATATGAAATCGATTTTGAAAATTTCTTTCTCTTATACTTCTAAGTTATCATGGGTCCAATGGTAAATGGTTAAACATTCTGTTGTTAGAAAAATTACTTTTATCTGTCCATAAAATCATGTTTGGAATGTGGGGATTATTATTTACATTATTGAAGTACCAGCGACAGAACTATTCTTTTTTCAAAGTTATTTTCGTGAAGATGTTGAACCAAGTTCACCTTGTAAGGAAACAATTTATGTTTATGTAGAATTTTATATACAACGTACTTGGTTAAATAAATAAATCAATTATAAATTCTGAAAAAAGGTGTATTAATGATAAATTTTAAATTTTCATTAAATTGTCGAAAAAAAAAGACGTTGTTAGAACTAGCCATTTATTAAAAAATATATTTTATTAAGAAAACTGCAGCACGACGTAAAATTTGCAATCCGAAACAATTTTTTTCTAACCACATACCAGAATCTGGACTTCCTACGAATAAAAAAATCACCTTTAACATGAATTTTGTATATTTTAAAAGATAACAAAAATAAAGCATTAACTAAAAAATATTTAGGATAAAAAATAAATATAGGTTTTTCAAAATAAAGTGCAATAAGAAAATTAATTTTATCTATGTTAGCGTTAAAGTAATTTTTTTAAATTATTTTCTTGTAACTCCAAATATAAATGACATTTGCATTGAAATATAAAGGCATGGATTTGGGTGAAATTTTTGTAGTCACGATTTATCGATCCTTAATCCACGATTTTCTTTTGTTTTTTTTTTAATTCAACACAAAAAATGCACTCATGTTAAAACCACATAACGTTTGCGAAAAAAATCTGAATTTATTCTTCAAAGTATATTTCTGGTTTGCAGCATAACAGTCGTCGTGAATAGTTAATAAAAAACCGGTTTGTTTAGGGCATTTCGAAACATTTGTTCATCAAATTTCAAAACAATATGTCGATTATTTTCGGATACAGCCAAAAGTAATTGAAAAGAATAACTCTAAAACAAACGACGATAGACTCATAATTCATGGAAAAAGATCTTTTGTTTTGACGTTTAGTTACACATAGTACGTCATTCTGAAACACCTTGTATAATAGGTAACACGTAATAAAAGAATATGTGTCCTATAAATTTTATTGGAGAAAACATTAATATCTTTTCATAACAGTTTAATTAATAGTGATAAAGAAAGCTCCGCCAAATTTATCTTTTTATTGACAAAACATGTTTTATTAGGAAACCTACAGTACGATTCAGAATTTGTAACCCGAAATAATTACGTTCCAATAACATTTCCCAATTTGAAACGATTCCAATGACAACTAACAAAAACAAGAAGCAAATCGCATAATTTTGGGATTGCGAAACTTTTTTACCTATGGACGACTTGGGCACATTGATTTCTGTCACACCATCTGCACCTTGACTCGACGTTCCTTCTCCGAAAGAACCTTCATTGTTGGTAATGGTTTCTATAATTTTGGCCGCTTCTTCTTCTGCCTCGTCAAACATATCAGCAAATTCACTTCCTACTAAGCTCGCGGTAGACTTTTTATCCGTAGCAGTGAAATGTATCAAATGATCCACGACGTTTCTGTAGATGTAATTACACTCAGCTTTAGTTAAACAAACGAATTCCACGACTTCGTCGTTTCCCATCTTCACTATGAGCTTGCAATCGTCTTGCTCTACTTTGGCGATGTCCATCCACTTCAAGTGATGCACTTTCCTATTTTCGACGTAGGTGACCATCCCGTTGTGGTTGACCCAGAGGTTCAAATTGCTGTGATTGTGCGCTTCTACAAGATAGGGGTCGATACCGTAAGCTTCCAGTTGACAAGCCATGCGAAGAAAAAGGTCTTCTATGTGCGATTTTTTTAGATCACTCAAATGATTTCTGTGTATCTCGATGGCTTTGGTCTCCACCATGAAGTTCTGGTTCAGTATGATTTTGTCTTTGATGTAGTTCCCTATGTGTATCTCTGGATTGAAATCGCCGTGGGTGTATTGGAGAATAAGCGCCAAGAGTAGAGCTGAGTCGTTTGGGCCACAACACAGACGCCCACTTACGAGATCGTACCTGAGTTGCAAGAAAATTTGGTGTTTGGTTTCTTTATCCGTGAGTTTGTAAGGTTCTGGTGGGTAAACTTTGACTCTAAAATGGAAATGTATGGGGCATACATTCTTCACTTGACTTCTGATCAATTTGTCGAGCTCCAACCAATGTCTCTGTTCGAAGGTGTCGACATACTTCAAACCCCAGTACTCCTTCTCTGATAAGCCCTGGTAGTCGCAGATATAGTTTAGCAATTCCCTTCCCGTGTGGTCTGATTTGTATTCGCACTCCAGAATTTCTCCATTTCTCAACAGGTGTATAGTGCAGGGATACAGCACCTCTATGCCAGTTTTGGAAAGTACTGTCTTCATATTCACGATTAGCAATTTAGTATGGTTCCGAAGTTAAAATTTGTGGAATGGGGAAAGTAAACTGGATGTTGGGTATATTGTTGACGTTTGTGAAAATGGCATCTTGACAGTATATTTTGGCAATTTTGACAATAATAACTGTTGTTTTGGTAAGATGTCAGTTAGTTTGTCTGGCTCACACTTAAAAAAAGTAAAGTAGCAGATTTTTGCATTTTCTTATAAAAATAATTAATCCTTTCGGATAACACATACAAAATATTTCGAATGAGAATATTAGTGACGTATAACTTACCGCGATGAGTGAGAGAAATATCATACCAAGATCAATAGCAAGATAACCGAATTTGGTATCTGTCCGTCTTTGTCATTTAAGTAAGATCTCTTTCTTACAGCAACAAACCAAAGTTTAATTAGTTTTAACGTTTCTTACATGTTTTATTTGCCCGGTTTTATGTTTATAAGCAGTGTTGTTGGAGTATAAATGCAGAACATCAAAAACAAGAAGATTTTGTGGTGTAGATTATGTGTCTATATTTTATATATGACTTTTTAAATTAAATTTTAGCCCTATCTTTTCTAAAAAGCGACGTAACCTTGTAACGCATTAAAATTTGCTACGGTTATATTTTTTAGGGAGCTAACATGTCAGCGTTGACAGGTGTTGATCATCTGCTAGAGGGCGTAAGCTACATCTTTCCCCATTGACATTTCATGACATAACTTTTTTGAGGTTATGTGGTCATAAAATGGTCATTTTGGGAGTTAAAAAACGCATTTTGAACCTCTAAGATTCTGTTTTTAGATTTTTCAGTTGAAATTTTTTAGGAGCTACGATTATCATGCAATTCTAAGATATAGCGCGACAAAAAAATTTTGCAAATTTTCTTTTCTTTTCCGAGTCCACGGACTTGGATTTTTTTTTTTCAGCTAAGCCATCACATGGACTAGATAGTTTGTTTATTCAGCTTCAATTTCCTTTTTTTTTTAAATTTCGATACGACCATTTTTCATCGAAATATCGGACTTTTAATGGAAAAGGATCCTTTTGTCTTCAATCATCGATATCTCGGCGACAAATGGTCGTACAGAGAATTGAAGGGCAGTTTCGAAAACTGAAATAAATTTCCTATAACATGCTGTCGCAACTTTTCGGAAAAATTTTTATTTTCATCTTTTACACGAATTTTAAAAACCAGGAAAATAGGTAATTTATGGTTTTTTAGAAAACTGACGGCTAAATTAGAAATATTCACGAAATGATTTTTGGAAAACATTTCGGACATTGAAGAAAATAAAATCCAATAATTTCCAGCACGATTCGGCTTTTTCGTCCTATACTTCTGTTCATCAACTTTTAATTAAATTAAAATTAAAGTTAATGACCCAAACCAGATTTCGACCCCGATTCATACCGTTTTTTGAGACAAATTTCTAATTAATTTTTGTGCAATCTGTAATTACTTAAAAAACTGTTTTTTTTTAAATTGAATAAATTGAAGCTGAATAAACAAGCTATCTGGTCCATGCGATGACTTAGCTGAAAAAAATTTTCCAAGTCCGTGGAAAATTTGCAAAATGCTTGATAACCATAGTTCCTAAAAAATTTATACCGAAAGATCTAAAAACTAGAATCTTAAGAGCTTCAAAATGCTTTTTTTAATTCCCGATACCACCATTTTTCACCTAAATAGGTACAGTCTATCAAAAATCAAGGAAAAATTTCGGAAATTCTTTTGACCCTTTAATTTTTTGCATTAGTTTATATTATAATGTACAGTGTCATTTTGAGTAAAAAAAAAAGTAGTCTTATAGAAAACGCAAAAAATACACAGATTTTATGAAAATAAAAACGATGGGCTAACCTAGACCTAACTAGATTCTATTCCTTAATATACAGGGTATCCGAAAATGAATAGGCCATACTTCAATGGTGGTTATTTGTTCGCATAAAAGTTGTCGTAAATGTCATTTTGAAAGATCGTAACTAGCGATTTCTAGCAGATGGTCAAAAATTAATAACAGTGGCATATTTAGCGTCCTTAAAAATTTACAAAATTTCAATGCAACACATTTTTGAAAAATCGTCTTTAATATGTATCTGAAAAACAAAAGATGATAGGTCTCCAATTTTTGCTACTTTTTAATTTTGTTTACATTCCTGAATTTATGGTATCTTTCTCCGAAACTCCCTATGTAATTGATATAAATATTTTTTAAAAACAATAAATTGTAGTACCTACATTTCCTAAAACTTAATTTACAATTATAATTTATTGACCAATCTTGATGATTTTTAGTGATTATTAATATATTCAGTAGCACCAATTCTATTTAGGTTCCTATTAATTAATTATACGCTTTACCATTTGAATATTTAAAAAAAGTATATGTTAATGTTTCCGATATGACAAATATTAGCGTACAATAGAGGATTTTTTTCTTTGTTTTTGTATTTGGCAGTGATCAGCAATCTATTTCCCATATCTTCCATATCTCCAATTTTTATTTGAAGTAATTCATCACATCGACACGCCCCAGATATGGCAAAAATCATTGCCACCTTAAATAAAAATAGTCAGTATTCTGAGTAAAAGAATGCTTTTAATTTTAGGTGCTTTCCAATATCGATGTTGTAGACATTCAAACCAGTTGTGAGCATCGCATATATTGACCATAATGAAGATTTCATACTTTTAATCAATGCAGAAAAATATACCGATAGTACATTATCTAAAAAAGATCATGTTATTCTTAGTCCGGTAATCAATAAATTTTTTATAATGTTTGCTATATTGGAAGAATTTGAATTCTTTCTCAAAAAATTATGGAGGTTCTTTTGGATTGTTTCGTATTTCGGGAGAACGAACAAAGAGGCAAGCGGCGTATGTTCAGCGACTCTAGCGAACTCTAGACAAACATCCTGCGGCGGCTTTGGATCCCCGTGTTGTGGTGAAATGTCACGGATCCTGTCAATCGCCGTTGTAAGCCAGGATTATCCTCTGGCAATCACAGGACCATTGTGTGTGGTGTGAACTAAAAGCTGCTTTAACCATTACAAATTGTATTTGATAGTGCTCTGTAGGGGCAGGGCGATTATTCCGAACTTTGTTATTCCTCTCTTATTTATTGATGTCATTACGCGTTGTTAGTCATTCATTTTCTCGTTGTTTGCATTGTGCTCAATATCGGCGAGAATTCGACCGTAAAACGCTCATTTTTACATGTAAATAATATTTTGTTAAATTTACATGAATGACTATTTTCATGAATGACTATTTTAATTTTTTTTCTTAGTTTCCATGAAAATTTAATAGTAGCATATAATTTTTTTTCACCGAATTGGAGAAAAACCAAAACAATTTCGTCTAAAATCAGTAAAGTAGTATTAAAAAACAGTTTGATCAATTAACAGAATTAATACAAATGGTAAACTTTTCGATGGAAAAATAATACTTATTAAAGAGGTAGTAAAAAGATAAAAAGTTAGAATGGTTGAAGAAAAAATAAACAGAAATACACCATAGAGGTGTAAATAAAAAATAGTATTGCAAAATTTTTTATTAAAAATACGTACTTCACATGACCTAACACAACCAATCTAAACCTAACCTAACCTAACCTAACCTAGTCTAAAGAAACAATCTCTGCAAACATAAAATAAAAAAAACGAATATCACGCGAGCAAACTAACAACGAAAAATTTTTCCGATAATGAACAATGTTACCCAAGCACCAAAACATACCAAAAATACCTACTTAGAATTGGCGAAAATATCAAATGAGTAACGATCGTATAAAAAAAATGTTTATTTTAACATGACATTTACGAAACAATGGCTATGAAGCACAAAATATTTAATTTTTAATACTACTTACTACATATTCAGGGTGTTAATTAAGTACGTCGACAAACTCAAGGGGTGACTCTTTGAGATATTTTAAGCCAAAAAGGTTATATAAGCATGGATTCACAAATCGACAGTTTTTGCAATACACGGTGTTAAAGTTTAAGAAAATTCTTCTTTTTTTGAAAACATTTGAAAACGTATTATGGAAAATGGTAAAACTTGGCTAATGATTAATTTAAGTGTACAAATTAATCGATATAAGATATAAATATGTGAACCAATGGTTGAGATGCTGGGAGTCGTTCTCACTGAAAATACAAGAAATTCAACACCAATATTATTATAGAAGTAAATCGCGATAACTAATTACTAAAAATACCATATTTTTAAAACTATATACTACTAATATTGTCATTATTAAATATGTAAATATTCCGACTTTTTTTTCAATATTAAAAAGTTTGTTTTGCGTAGTGCCATAACACTTGTTGTGTTTTGACCATTTGTATTTAGTAAAAACATTTACACAGGTTGACTCAAAATTCGGTACAAAGAATTTAGGGGCGCATTTTTGAGGTGAAAATAAGACTTTTTTCCTATGAACGTGGGTCCACAAATGTTTAGTTTTAGATATACAGCGTATTAAAGTTTTTTGATTTTTTAGATTTTTTTAAGAATAATTTCCAAACAGATTTGAATGTTCGCATAAAACTTGGGGTACGGAAGTTTTTTGGGATACTAAATTTAAATATGTCATTGCTTATAACGCTGCTTGTAGAGGATGATCTATGAGGGTACGCTTGAATTAAATTTGCCCTACCTTTTTTGCTACCCTGTACATTGACCTACATCATATTAGGGCGTTTATTACCCCATCAATATTAAGCAAAAAAGGTATACCTACTTGGTCGAAATCTCTCAAACCGACCGTTTCCGAGATATTCGCTGATGGAAAATAAAGACACAGCATGTTTTCAAATTTTATTAACTATTTAGGGTGAAAAATTTTTAAATTTATATTCACCATCTAATCAATTCAACTCTACATTTTTTTGATACAACTAACAGTTTTCGAGAAAATCGCTGCTGGCTAAACGGAGGTATGGTCGTTATCAAAATACATAGAGAAAAAACAGTAGGCTATGACTGCTT